ACCCTTTTGCTGTATAAAAGAAAAGTTGATCACTACCCAGTGGCTTTTGGGGGGGCGTTTAACTTTGTGCTTAATTTGTACCCTTGGAGACCTGAGACTTAATTCAAGAGGAAGAAAAGGCTATTCTCCCAGTGTGGCCATTTTGTCTCCTCCTGGGGAGGCCTGCTGCTCTGGAAGCCTTTGTCATCTCCCCACCTTCCAGTCTGTCCTGCTGTCCTTCAGTTGCTCTGCCCCACAGCCTCTGCTGGCTCGTTTGCTGGCAGCTAAGTGGAATTTATTCCGCTTCTATTTCTGAAGCCATTTAAGACCATGACTGTTGTACGTCTCTTATTACAGCAAAAGCATTCAAAGAAAAAAGGAACGGGGGAGAGAAATAAGCAAAGTTGACGTTTTCCCTCATCAGAGGAGAGAGAGAGAAAAGAAAAAAATACCCTTAAGACCTGAAATCAAAGAAGCCTGTACTTGAAGATGAAGTTATCAGTGTTGGCAGAAGGACAGCCAAAGATAAAAACAGCTTTGCTGAACAGATTTATATATATCTTCTTTGTACCAGCTCTTGGAAACTGGAACTTCATATGTAGGATTATCTGATTATATCATTCCGTTCTCTTTAATCTGGCTAACTCCTGTTTATTCTCTTAGTTTCATGGTGGGCATAGCTTTCTTTTTAGGAGTTAAGAACTTGATAGACAGCTCATCTTTACCTGTCTGTCTCAAGCATCAAGCATGCCCACCCTCTATTTTAATTAGTTATTTTCTTACCTTTATATTCCACGAGACTTGTGCTCTTTTGACATCAGGACAGCCTTTTATTTATGCAGGGCCCACTGTATAGTATATCTGATGTATAATAGATACAATAAATATTTGTTAGATGAACAGATAAGCACTGTAGACCTTGTGAAATATACAGCATTACATGCGAATTTTACCTTTTATAACCTTTTTGGAAAACACAATTTGAAAGCATAACATTGTTGAGATCCAATTTCCTCTGCCACAGGTTACTGAAGTCCAGACACAAGACACATGCACATGAGCCCACGCGTGTGCATGTTTGGGTGTTTATAACTGTAAAAGGATTTCAAATGGGAGCAGTGCTATGGGTTCCAGCTAGAGTACTAGAGAGTATCTCTTGGAAAATGTAAAGATTTACTTCAGAGTTAAACTGTTGGAAGGGTTTGGGTGTACATTTGAAAGAGCCTAAGACACTACTATAGTATCTTGTACTCAGTAGAGCCATAAAGGCCAGCAATTGGGATAAGCACTCATTTGGAAGTGGAATTAAACAATGTGCCGACTGCCAACATTCGATACGTTAGATAAAGTAGACATTTCAGAAACATGTTATTAGAAGGATTATTACAAATGAAATAAGCTACCAGCCTGCAGAGTAAAAGTTATTGTCCTTACAAGTGGTAGAAAAGAAATTATATTTTATAGAACCCTGCTGTGGAAATTAGCATATGGAGATTAAGATATTAGTTAGACTTAAGGATAGTCTAGTATGGAATTTATCCTAATTATTCTTTAAATCTTTAAAAATGAGCTTTGAAACAAGCATTGTAGTTGAGCAAAATACTCAGTGTAGTGCTCTTTTGGTTGTAAAACTGCATTATTTCTAAATGATAACAATTAAAGTATCTTATTACTAATCCATTTTATTTTTATAGCTCTTCAGCCTATCAGCTCTCTAACCAATGTTACCTATTGTTCTGTTTCTGAGCTGACATTGTAAACCAGTGTTAGTCCTGCGGCACTTGCCAAGTCAACTTGAACTAAGACTCTGAAGCTTCTACTAGAAGTTACTAACTCTAAACAACCTTCGTTTTGCCTATAACTTTAATGACACTGTTGTTTTGAAAAAGTATCAAACATAATTGTAAGGGATGCTTGCGTTTCTCGTCTAACATGCAAACAATGGAGGCAAATTGAGGAGTAAATTGCCAAAACTAAAATCTTCTTTGTAAACTGTCATTCTAAATGCAGTGTAGTATCACTACAAATTTCTAATAATTTGCTCAAACACAGAGAATTCCACTTAAATTGAAAATTAAACCACATCTAAGATTTAAATGGTTGCAATTACGGCATAAATCAGGATACAAGAACCCCAAAGCAATGACTAATTAGCCCACAAAAAAGAAACCCATCCAATATCTGAAAAAACAGTAATTGTGATCAACACAGGCTTGTTTCTGAAGGACTGTAATCAGGCAAAGAAATAGAATAGCTTTTCTTTTGTACTCTAAAGTAAAAGAGAAAACAAAACAGTAAGCTATCCCTGAGGGATTTCTAGCAGGATCCTCTGTTCTTAAACTCTTGATAGGGGGAAACAGATTAGTGCTAAGCACAGCGGGCCATCCTTAAAAGCCTTCCTGGAAGAAAAGGCTCCCAAGAGCAGATGAAAGAATCAGAGATGCCCACATTCCCACTGTTAACAGTCCCACAGAAACAGCAAGCTAACAGCCATAACATACATGCAGAGGACCTAGCTCTGACCTATGCTGCTTCAGTGTTTGTGAGCCTCTAAGAGCCCTACTTAGTCAGTGTCTGTGGCTACTGGGTTGCGTAGCCCAGCCTTGATTTGATGGTTTGTGCCGTGTCTTATTGTATCTTGTTATGCTGTGTTAAGTGGATATCCCTGGGAGGCTTGCTCTTTTCCAAAGGCTTTCTAGGTAAGCACTCTACACTACATTCTCAGCTCTAGGTGCCTTTTTTTTTTTTTTTGTAAACACCAAATCCATTATAAATACTGTGCAAATAATTTATTGTTGTACTGACTTGTTTAGTGAGTAATGACAAACCCCAAAAATGGTCTATGTATGCTGTGCCCAGATACAGTTCTTGTGGTTTTGGGAGAGTCTTCATGTAGCTTGGGCTGGTCTCCAACTCACAGTGTAGAAACTGGCCATGAAGTCTTGTTCCTCCTATCTTCACCTCCCAAGTGTTGTGATTATAGACATGTACCATCATGCTCACTGTAGCTAGACTTTTACTGCTTTGTGGGTTCTTTTCTATTCCACTCTTCTCCACCTCTTTTCCACCCTTTCAACCCCTTAACACTAGATAGGAGAGAAGAAAGGATAGAGGGGAAAGGGTGACATCTTTAGACTACATCCTGCTGATTAGGGGCATCATGTTCCTTGGGGGCAAGTTTGATCTTTGACGTCAGGATATCTAATAATTCTAGTTATTTCTTCTTTGCGCACAACTACTTAACAAACCAAGACCAACAGCAATCAACAGCAACCAACCCCTGACACTATAAATGTTATTCTGCTATGTTTGCAGACAGGATCTGTAGCATAACTGTCCTCTGGGAGGCTTCACTCAGCAGCTTATGAAGGCAGATGCAGAGACCCACAGCCAAGTGTTGGGTAGAGCTCAGGGAGTCTTGTGGAAGAAGTGAGGGAAATATTAGGGGAGCCAGAGAGGTCAAGGACACCACAAGAAAACCTACAGAATCAACTAACCTGGGCCCATAGGGGCTCACAGAGACCCAACCTCCAACCAAGGAGGATGCACAGGATGGACCTAGGCTCCCTGAAAATAGGTGACATATGTGCAGCTTGGTCTTCGTGTGGGGCCCATGGCAACTGGAGCAGGGGTTATCTATGACTCTGTTGCCTGCCTTTGGATCCCTTCTCTCTAGCTGGGATGTCATGTTTAAATCCTAGCCAACACGTACTGTCCCTTGAGTTTTTAATCTTAGCCATTCTGATTGGTATAAGATGGGATCTCAGAGATGTTTTGATTTGCATTTCTCAGATGACAAAGGTTGTTGGACATTTCTTTAAGTGTTTCTTGGCCATTCAAGATTCCTCTGTCAAGAATTCCCTGATTAGCTCTGTATCACACTTCTTGAGTTATTTGATTTGTTGGTGTCTAACTTCTCTAGTTCTTTATATATTTTTGATTTTCGCCCTCTGTCAGATGTAGGGTTGGTGAAGATATTTTTCTATGCTGTATGCTGCCATTTTGTCCTATCAACAGTATGTTTTGCCTCACGAAAGTGTTTGAGTTTCATGAAGTCACATTTATCAATTGCTAATCTTAGAGCCTGAGCCATTGGTGTTCTGTTCAGGAAATTGTCTCATGTGCCAATGAATTCAAGGCTCTTCCCCACTTTCTCCTCTATTAGATTCAGTGTATCTGGTTTTATGTTGAGATCTTTGATCCATGTGAACTTGAATTTTCTGCAGAGAGATGAGAATGGATCAATTTGCATTCTTCCACATGTAGACATCCAGTTAAACCAGCACCACTTGTTGAAGATGCTTTCTTGTTTCCATTGTATGGTTTTGGTTTCTTTGTCAAAAATCAAGTGTCCATAGGTATGTGGGTTTATCTCTGGGTCTTTGATTCTATTCCTTTGATCAACCTATCTGTTTCTATACCAATATCATGAAGTTTTTATTATTATTCCTCTGTAGTACAGCTTGAAATCAGTGATGGTAATACCTCCAGAAACTGCTTTATTGTACAGGATTGTTTTAACTATCCTTTTTGTTTGTTTGTTTTTTCCAATTTTCAATTTCCAATTGAAAATTGTTCTTTCAAACACTGTGAACAATTATGTTGTAAATTTGATGGGAATTGCATTAAATCTGTAAATTGCTTTTGGCAAAATGGCCATTTTTACTATGTTAATCCTACTGGTCCATGAACATGGGAGATCTTTCCATCTTCTGTTATCTTCCTAGATTTCTTTTTTGAAGTTCTTGTCATACAGGTTTTCCACTTGCTTGGTTAGAGTTATGCCAAGATATTTTATATTATTTGTGGCTATTGTAAAGAGTGTTGTCTCCCTAATTTCTTTCTCAGTCTTTATATTATTTGTAAAAAAAAAAGAGGGCTACTGCTTTCATTTTGATTATCTTCCTTAAAGCTTCGTGATATTTTTAGTTGGGACTGAAGATTGATTTCCAGTGGATGGGACAAAATGGTTATTTTTAGTTTTAATTAATCATAACTGCAACAATACTTTTATTTTCAAGTGTTCAGCTCCAAATGTCTGGAGAAGACCTGATGGCAAAACCATTGAAATGGACACACAATTCACGATAAGAGCCAGAGAGCTGCAAAGCATCTATAAGTGTATCCTGCTGAAAGACCTCTCTCAAGATGAGAGGCTGGATATACTCCTGACGCTTAAACACACTGTGAAGGTATGTTAAGTTCACTATCAATATAAAGATCAGCTGGATACTAGACTCAACAAGTTTCTTTTCATTAAGCGATTATATAACTATTAATAAATGCTTGCATACATTAAATTGTATAAATGGCTAGCTTACTTTGGTAAGTTTGGAGATAGATATGTCAGATGAATGATAACCTAAAAGCTCTCAAAATCTGTGCATGTTGATGACATTCATGTGCAAAGTCATGAGTCCGATCTGCAAATAATTTCATAAATATTTTATGATAATATAATAAAATGTAAACATAGTATGTTCAAATACAAAATCATCTTTATATAGCCATGTAACACAATATGCTTTAAGAATTAAAAAAAACCTAGCAATTATTGTCTACTTTTTGAACAGTTTTCAATGAAAAGCCATTCTTAGTCATTAAAAATTTTATCTATTGTTATTGTTCGTGTGTGTGTCGGTGCATATGCATTACAGTGAACACACAGAGGTCGCAGGGTAATTTTCAGGATTAGTTTTCTCTGTCCTTCCTCTGTGTTGGGTAGATGGAAGTGAAATCTCATGCTTTCCTTGCAAGTGTTCCTACCCGCTGAGCCATCCCGATCTTCCTGCTTTTTACAGGTTGTAAAGCCATATCGATGTACGCTTGTTTTCCCCCCTTTATATACTATTAATTTTCTAGATTTAAATGAAAATTAGGATAGTAGATACTATGTAGTCCTGTTTTCTTCAGAAATTGACTTTCACATTAGTTTGAATTCAGAAGTTTCCGGGGGCATACTCAAGTAGAGAAAGCAGATAGGAAAACGGTCCTTGCTAGGAAGAGAAAAAACTCCAGGGTCAATTTCGGACTCTTAGAAACCATAGTAGCAAATCGTGTTGGTTTCATCGAGAGCTTGAAGTTAGGATTTACCCGGGGTTAGAGCAAGGGGTAAGACTGTTCTCTTGTTTGACTAAATTAAGGGTGTGAGTTTGCCCTGGCTGACTAAACTCTTCAGAAGCAGTGCTCCAAAGTGACTGAGCTGAGAGTTGTCTTCCCTTGACTTACCATGAGGGGGCGAATGAGAGCTTCCAGTTCGGCTACAAAACCCTGGTTACTGCCGTTCCTATCTACTGCTTTGCGATCAGTTCCTACAGTCTGGACACATGCCTACCCCCTCCCCGACACCCGGGAGTAAAATTATAGTAGTGAGGTTAATGAGCAAAGTACAGACTGTGTAGTACTTACCGGCACCAAGGCAGCAGCAGATTCCCCCGTGTGTCTTCTATTCATTTTAATGTTTCCTCACCTTGGATTGAGAAGAATCAGAACCCAAAGACACAAAGCTTTTAAGACACACTACAGAGTTAGGTAATTGGCTCACAGGTTTCGTGTTTCACATGCTGTCTTTTCTCTACCTTTGCAAAGATCGAGGCAGTGGTGTAAACAGCGTGATGGGAACCTCCTTAGACAGCGAAAGAGATAAAGGTCATGAGACTGGGGTGGGGGTGGGAGGGAGAGACCGAAGAGATAAACTAAAGAGGCGAGGGATGAACTCTAAAGACAATACATGCCTTTGAATTTATCTAAACTATCTGTATGTGCATTTATTTAGCAATAGTTTGAAGAAATATAAAGGTGCAAACATAACTCAAATTCTGACTCTGTTGACTTGATACAACTTTATATAAGCTACTTATGTATATGTGTATCTGTCTACTCAAATATATATATTAAATATATACTAAAATAAAGACCAATGAATTTTCAACCTGAGTTCACACTAAGATCACCTAGAGTTTCAGAGAGAGAGGCACACACACACACACACACACACACACACACACACACGCAGAGAGAGAGAGAGAGAGAGAGAGAGAGAGAGAGAGAGAGAGAGAGATAGATCATAAGTATGTGACTCTATAAGTAAGAATAAGGTAGCAACACCATTTCAGAGAGCTATATTAGATATTTAGGCATGAGAGCAGGATTAATGAAAAATTATTTTCTCCAAGGCCCTCCTAAAATACTTCCAGGGTGATGCATCACCCATTTCAACTCTTCAACTAATTAATATTGCCAAGTATGAAAGGGCATTGCCTTACAGTCACTCTCTTTACCCTCTGTATCCTCCATATAAACTCTGTCCCCTCCAGTTTCCCCAGACAGTGGAACGGACATAGCTCCGTTTCACCATTTATAAATACCGTCCTAAGCCCCTAACTGTCATGCAGACTTTGCTTGTTCAAACTATCCAGTCTTAGTACTTTACTAAAAAGTATTGGATGGTATGATAGACATGTACACAATACATAAATAGTTTAGCAATGTTGAACAGGACAATTCACCATTGTAAACTCTCTGTGTTTTTCACCCCCTTTCTTTTTCACTTTAGACTTCCTTTCACCTCCTTGAAGTAATCATCGATGAACACTCATTTTCGCCTGTGTCTTTTCCTTGGTTTCTCTTAATGATTTTCATTCCTCTGTACAAGCCTATAAATAATTTGGTTTGGCGTTTTTAGTTTTGACCTATTTGAAATTATACTGCATGCACCAGTTTATACCTCATTTTTCTTATTTACTTTATAAGATGTAAGCATTAAGATTTACAGCTATCATATAGTCTACTCATTTCCATAAAGTCCATTATATTCATAAGCTATAATATATATACATATATATATATATACAATTTTTTAGTTGTTTCTAACTTTTGACTACTATGAATAATATCTCTATAGGTATTTTTCTCTAAAGCACATATTTAAAGAGTTTCTGGGCTATAAATTGCATATTATCAAACTAACCATTTGATATAAATTGCCTGTTAGTTGGTTGTGCCAAATTTTACTTTTGTCACCTTTTAAAATGTTTTGGAATGTAGATCCCAGTTTGTTTGGGTGGTAGTTTTAAAAATGATGATTTAAAATAACTATACTGAGTATATTGTGTTTTGTTTAGGAACATGAGTGTAAACTGACCCAGGAAATCCTAGAGTTGGTTGACAGAGAAGTTGATCTTATGATGAGAGGTGTCAAACCCCATAATCTCGAAGGACTCAGAAAGAGGATCACAACACTCTTTATCCACTACATCAAAACGCCTCTGTTTAATCCTGAAGTCGCCAGATACCTTAAGGTATCTATGTACTGTACTGATTTTCCTGATCCTAAGATGTTATATTGTTAATTGTAAGATAGTCAAAGTTTCCTTCTGTGCTTTATCACAAAATCTAAGACTGCCCCTTTGCTGAGCTCTCCAGGTTTATCATTCTGTTGACAAACGAAGCTCTCCCATCAACTTCTTTGGCATATGTATTTTCAGCATCAAATTATTTTCTAACAGCTGAATTGACTGGCACTGTGATCTCTCCCACCCCCAACTTTTGTACAGTTGCTCCCACCTGCAGAACTATGCTTTATTTGATCTTGCCAACTCTTACTCATTTTCAAAAAGCAAGCTCTTCATCCTTCTCTCTCATGAGGCCTCAGAGAAAGTTCGCCTTTCCATTTCTCCAGTTCTCCCCGTGTGCCTTGTCTGTCTGTCTGTCTGTCTTTAGCACTTAAGCAACTGTAAGTATCAGTGACTGGATCCATGAAGGCAGCCTAAGGAACTAGAAACGGAGCTTGTGTCTGAGTTAAATTATGCCCTCTCACAGCAGTATGATTAGGTTTCTAGGGATATGCATACCTCACTGTTTTCTTACAAAGCTTTTTAAAACGTGTAGTACATTGGAAGTTTACTAAAGACTTATAGTTGTAGAATTATAATCTAGGAAGCGGACTATCTTTAGAATTTTAGCAAAACAGAAACCTCATAATGTAGACAAAATCTAGAAAAATAAAAAGTGCTTACTGTTCATTTTCTTCTTTAATTAATTAAAAATGATTACGCTGTTCAAAAGACTGGGAGAAAAGTTTCCCATTGTATCACTTCATGGGTTTTTGCATGTCTAAGTTGGCTTGTTTATACAGATTTGCAGCAACATAATGAGAGAATCTGTACTCTACACCATGACATCACGTTATATTACTGTTTTTGAAATTTCTTTGATGCAATTTCACTCTTCCAGGTAAGTTTTTGCAATACGTAAAATCATAGAACTAGCAATATATACAGTCCAAAGAAAGCTTAGTCCTCACAGACAGCCCTACCGTCAGCTCTTAGCCGACTTGTGTTTTATTTCAATGACTTTATTTATTCTAGAATGCCTTATAAACGGAATAATTCTATCGTGAAACCACATGCAGTCTTTTGAGACGGGCTTCCTTCCACTCATTTCATTTGAGATTTACCCATGCTTTGATGCACCATTGGTTTGTTGTTACAGTTCAGAAGCCTGAGATACAATCCCATGATGCAGGAGTTTGATTCTTATCTTTTCTCTTCAGGGAACAGCACTTGTCTTCTGTTTTATTCTAGGAGTTTTTCTTTTCTTTCTTTCTTCCTTTCTTTCTTTTTTTTTTGGGGGGGGGGGTTTCAAGACAGGGTTTCTCTGTGTAGTTCTGGCTGTCTGGCTGTCCTGGAACTCACTCTGTAGACCAGGCTGGCCTCGAACTCAGAGATCCACCTGCCTCTGCCTCCCAAGTGCTGGGATTAAAGGCGTGCGCCACCACCGCCTGGCCGAGTTTTTCTTTTCTTTTTCTCTTTTCTCTTTTCTTTTGTTTTTTTTTCTTTTTCTTTTTTTTTTTTTTGCCACTGATTTACAACTGGGGCTTTGACTTATTTTGAGGTTTTTTTTTTTTTCTTATGCTACAAAGGTTAGTCAGGTCAGGATTTAGCTTTATCAACAGTTTTCATAATTTTCTTTAAATATAATATCACCTGTTAAAGTTTCTGGCCACTATAAGAGTTGCCTACCTTCTTAAAGTAATGTAAGTTAAAGTTTTTCAAGACATTAGACATAAGGCAGTGGAAGGTTGTGATTCCTGAAAGAAGAGAAATAAAGAGAAATAAGCCTGTGCTGATCCCGTTGGCCTGCTGTGCTGGAGCAGGAGGGTAAAGAAGGGGCTTTGGGTTCCTTAAGCTGCGTTGAAAGAACGAGGCTTTTTTTTTTGTCCCTCACACCCATGTGACAGAAGCTTGAAGGACACAAGGCTATGAGTGGATTCCATAGCACAGAAGTTCATAGGACAACAGTGTCCCTCTTACATATTCAGCTGAGTTCTCCTCAGAGCTGGAATGTGAGGAAGACATGTGAGAAGAGACATTCCCTTAAAGGATAAACGGTAACAACATTCACACTTAACACAGAGGAGCCATATGAAGGGAACTGACTCACTGGTGTGAAGTGATTGGCCCCAAATGGAGAACTGCTTTAGTCTTGATTTAAAAAAAAATTAAAAACTTAAAACCAAGGCATTAACAGGTCAAACTGTTATAAGTAATTTAACCATTCCTCAGAAAAAAATGTACGAGGCTATTGATGGGAATAAAAATATCCACAACTAAGGTAAGATTCATAACTGTCTAGCATCCAAAAGCAGATGAGATACATAAACAAAATGTAATCAATAAAGCAAGCAGCAAAATCATTATTCAAATCATTATTCAAATGACAAATGTTGGAATTAGCTGAAAAAAATGTTTGGTCACTTCATAAATTTTTAGAGGTTCAGAAATTAAGCGAAGACATTCAAGATACGTCGTAAAACCTCCGAAGAAAAAAAAACTATCACATTTGAGCCGGAAAACCACACTCAATTAAATTAAGTGGAGACTGGTGACATTGATGAGGAAACCAGAAATCACTGAACTAGAAGACCACGATAGAAACTGTTCACAGTGGCACACCTGGAGACAGAATGAAAAGCAACGTGAACTACCTCAGTATGTGTCAGAGGCTCAAATTAGAGAGTGAAGGATAAAGGAAACATTTTGTTAAAACAATGGCCATGATTCTTCTGAATTTGATGAACAGACTAAACCCACAGACTCAGGAGAAGTCAGTGGAGCATGACATACAGGGAACAAAGGACCCCAAGCCAAACCTCTAGCCAGGGAGAAGGAGCAGCTTGTAGACTGCGACGAAAATAAGACCGAAAGCAGGTTTCTCACTGGAAACATCACAGGGGAAAAGCCAGCCAGTCAGCCTCTGCGAAGCTCTCAGGTCAACCACAGCGAGATAAACGGCACCTTCTGCCTCTTCCACTTGAATGGATTTATTTTCCTTCCTTATCACACAGGAAACATCTTTCAATATAATACTGAATATAGTCACTGAGGGGCAGATAGCCATCGCTTGTTCCCAGTAGTAGAAGAGAAAAATAAATATGTGTTTGAGAAAATGTGCTAAGAGTCAGTGATTTGATTTTCTGAAGACTCTACCAACATCTGTCTAGCGGTTGGAGTGAGGCACAGATTTTTAGTATTTTGACCAGGAAAACAAGCCTTGCTTGGAATTTAAGTCTCGTACACAATAGGTAGTTAAAAGAAAAACAAGACTTTTTAGAGGGAGCGATTTTCGAATAAAGTTTAAGTAGTCCTCATGCTACTGCTTCGTATGTGTATTGGATTTTCATCTTCTTTTTTCTTTCTATTTAGGTCCCTCAAGACCCACTGAAGTTTTATGATACGATTTACTTTTGCCACAGTTGCCAAATGTATCTGCCTTCTGTAGAGTTTTCTGTCTCACCCACCTCGCATCGTGTGTACCGCTGCCGGCACTGCGTAAATCTGGAGAATGAGACTCAGAGGCGGGAATCATTTTTGAAGTACAAGTGTTTACTTCAGCGGCTCTACTACTCAGAAGCCGATTATGTGGATAACTCCCAGATTGCTTTTCTGATGCAGGTATGAGCTTTAAAAAGTGCTAATTATGAAATCGAGCTGGGGGCTCTTGAGATGGCTCAGTGGTTAAGAGGACTCGCTGGCTGCTTTTCCAAAGGACCCAGGTTCCATTCCCACCACCCACATGGCAGTTGACAAGTTGACAGTTTCCTGTCTGAAGGAAATCTGCTGCCCTCTTCTGGCCCCTGACGTCACTGCACAGACCATGCGTCCAAAATAGCCATACACATGAAATTTATTTGTCAGAGAGGCTGTGGGAACCGTATTAGGATTTCCTAAAGGAGATAGCTATTGAATTTCTGAGTTTCACGCATAGATGTGTTCTTGGTTGTTTAAATTCTATACTACACTCTGAAAATTCAGATAGCACACCTTAGAAAAGAAAAAGGCAGATGTTTAAAAAGAATGACGGTAAAGACGATAAAACATGCGAGCTTTAAGAGACTGGCATTCATAGTCAGAGAATGAGATGTCTGAGATGTCTGATAGCAGATTTCATGTGGGCGATGCTGAAAGACGACAAAGTTTGGGCTGTGGCACAAAAAAAAAATCCTCTAAAGTCTTTTGAATGCTGCTCCCCTTCAAAAAATTTATTCATCATGATTTAATTACTTCCCTAATGAATATGATATTTAAACCATTGTCTTAGAGGAGAAAAAAATTATTGTCTGAACTTTTTTTTTTTTTGGCATGTAGCTTCAGGATATTAAATACTTGACGGAGAACATCTGGGCATCCCAGTCGGCCCTTAGCGCTTGGGATGACCTCAATGACCTGGTCATGGTCAGGTGGGATAAACACAGGGAGTGGTCTCCCTGGAACTGCATTCTTCTCACCAAGGATGAAAGCGTAGCTCATCTCAAGCTAGAGAGTATTGAAACGGTAAGATGGTGGACTTGGAGATTTTAATTTAGCCAATCAGGTTGCAACAGGCATTTTGAGTGCCCTTTAATATATCAGTGGCTGAAGTCTACTGAATCAACCGACAGTTATATGGGGTTATATGGCATGACAATAGGAGAATATGGAGATGGTGTGAAGATGTGAAAATTGATAGAAAGCTAAGGTGTACTGGGTAAAGATGAGAGATGCGAACACATAAACATCTAGCATCTTCTCACCCTTTTCTCACAAGTTCAAGCACACCCAGTGCACTGTAAGTTCTGGGAAGGACTGTTTTCTCACTCACGTATTTCTATCCCTTTCATAGCTATAATAAGGCCTGTTGAAGACCAGGAGTTTGTTTAAGTGTGTGGTGGTGGTGGTGGTGGTGGTGGTGGTGGGGACATCTGGTGGAATGTCAGCTGGTGCATCCACTATGGGAATCAGTACAGAGATTCCTCAAAATACAAGTAATAGAAGAAATATCATGTGGTGCAGCTCTGACAGTCTATGTCTGATGGGATCTATGTCGGAATACCCCAGAGAGATCTGTAAACATTGTGATTGTGTGTGTGTGTGTGGGGGCACTATTCACCACAGGTAAGGTATAGAATTAACTTAAGTCCAATCAACTGATGGATGTATATACAACTGCTTGTGTTGCTTGTGTGTATTAGAGTTTTATTCAGCCGGGCGGTGGTGGCGCACGCCTTTAATCCCAGCACTTGGGAGGCAGAGGCAGGCGGATTTCTGGTCTACAGAGTGAGTTCCAGGACAGCCAGGGCTACACAAAAAAACAAAAACAAAAACAAAAACAAAAAACAAAAACAAAAACAAAAAACAAAAAAAAGAGCTTTATTCAGAATGTAATGTTAAAATAAGTCAAACTTGAAAAGATAAATAGCACATGTTCTCCTTCGACATATGAAATCTAAAATTTGAAAATAAAAGCCTCGGAGAAGGAGACGAGGGACTCCGCGGGGAGGGAAGGAGTCCACAGTGGAAAAGAAGCAGAAAAGAGATACTGAGCATTAATGAAGTACAGGACATGCTTGTGTGAACAAAGAGATTTATTCTTTTGCATAATAAAACATAAAGTCTAAAATAAATATCTGCTTATAATAATACTTATTATCAATATATAAATATTATGGAGCCCAGACTTTATCCTTTGATTTATTGGCAGGAGTCTCCTTTAAAAAAGTACTCAGTTGTCAACTTCTATTCACAACTTTGGGAGTCACACGTATGTGATTCCATTCTTCCGTTTGCTTCCACCTAACTAGGAGAGGCGACAGCACCACAAGCGTGATTGCTGCTTCATTTCAGTAACTCATAAGATGCAATCTGTAAAGCACTCTGATGAATAAAATTGAGGGGGCCGTGAGGTATTCCTGAAGGGCTCTGTGTACACTCAGCAAGTGCAGGTCTCCAAGATCTGGCCCTGCTTCTCTCTCAATTTATTATATTGCGGTATCTTTCATGCAAGACGCTGCTAAAGGAGGCTAAAGCAATGGACCAACCGCAGCCATTTTGAAGAGCGCTGTCCCAAGATGCTGCTGCTGCTGCTTGCTTGCTTGTTTGTTTATTAAGGAAGGCGAGGGGAATGATATAAAGGGAAGAAACTAGTTACAGTTTTAGCCTTTTCCAATAACTTTTGAGTTCTAAGAAGCTAGGCTATGGAAAAATTCACTCTAGGGACTGAAAGAAAACGCAGAAAGAAATTGAAGCTGTGTTAAATGTTATATTTAGTAAACTAAGCTGCTGCATAAATATTTAATTACTGGAAGCACAGCCAATACTAGCAATATCATTTCATCTAGGACCCACAATGAAATTGAAGCTCATTCCCAAGGCTGATATTCCGGTTCTTCTTCAATTAATCCGCACAACTCCTTTGTGTACCTAATCAAATCACTGCACTCCTAGATTAAATGTTCCATTCCCGTGCATTTCCCGTCTCAGGACACCAGTCGCTCTTAATTTCCGCAAGCGGAGCAGAGGCTCTCGTCCTGACTCCAAACCTTTGCTGCTCTCTAAGGTCTCCAGTTTGTGCAAGCGTTACTGTCCATTCTGTTCTGAATAGTCCAAGTTTGTGCAGCAAATCAAAGCATTTCCAGAATTCTCCGAAAACACAGGGGCATCTGTCCCCCCACCCCCAGAAGAAACAACAGAGCAAAGAAGCAAACACAATGACAACAGCAAGAGAATTTAGAAGGATCTCGATTCCTTGGGAGAGGAGAGAGTTCGGTTCTGAGAGAGAGGAACAACTCTGATTAAGCTCTCCTCCATGCAAACTGGCTAAAGTTGGGCCAGTGATTCCCTAAATGTCATCTACCACATCCCACTTTCTTTCCTGTCTTTGTCACTATCAACCTGTGGGACGTATTTACTTTACATTATAGAATTTTTAGAAGATTGGTTAAATATGTGGAATTGGCCAAACCTCCCAAGGAGGTCCAATCCAGAAAATGAACCACTCCTCCTCTCTGATGTCCCATCCTTGCTCAGAACCAGGGCAGTTGTGCAGACGGACAGTGTGTTGGGGGTGGGACGGTGGAGATTATGGCGATTGTGTGCAAGCTCCAGGCTGCTGCACACCACCCTGTCGGCCCTTCTGACTAATGAGCTCTTTTCCTGTCTACCACAGCCTTCTCTCACAACTGTCACAGCCGTCGCATCTCTCATTCCACCTCTCTCCACTGAGCACACACCACTCTGGTTCCCCGTTTTTAAATATACCATAAATACTGAATCATTGCCAAGACCCATCTCAGATACCTCACTGTTGCTCAGAGTCAGGGTGATACTGCTGCTACTCAGGATATCCAGGGGCAGGTTTCGGGCAAGTTTCCTGCTGCTGTATACCTTCCCTCCCTTGATGTCTGATGCTCTCAGGCTGGCTGGACTTGACTTTTGTGCTTGTAGGCTGAGGGCAGTAATGCTGTCCTGCACTTTCCCACTGGAGTTCAAGGCCATTACACATCTCCCTGTCGGTGCAGATAGCCCCAAGGTTCATTGGGGACTTTGTGCTTGCAGCCTGCTTGCTGAGATGCATCGGAGAAGGATATAGATTTTTCATTCTCTACTGCACGCAGCTCTGTACTGCCATCTTCCCTTTCGATCTTGTGAGCCCACTTTTTAAAAGCATCTTCCCATAAAACTTGCCTTCCCTTCCCCACCCTTAGTTGTTCTGGAGCTATTACATGGCTCTGCAGACCGACTCATCATCCTTCAGAGCCTCCATGGGTGTCTCTGATCCTCCGTGGAGCATGAGTCTTTCTGAAAACTCATCTTAAAATGCTTTCCTGTAAGCTTTATCCAAATATATGTATGTATGTATGTATGTATGTATGTATAGACATGTATAAAATTGTTGCTTGTTACATGCCACTGGAATAAAACAGAAACCTGGGTACATCCTACCCCATACCAGGTAATTATTGTAAATACAAACAGAGGAGAGAAATAATAAAGAACTAATAATAACAGTGGTTCAGACTGAGAGAAAGACACACACACACACACACACACACACACACACACACACAGAGAGAGAGAGAGAGAGAGAGAGAGAGAGAGAGAGAGAGAGAGAGAGAGAGAGAGAGAGAGAG